AATGCAATTAAACTTGTGTGTCCATCCCTTGTATTATTAGCCTTTTCTGAGTAAATTTGCAACCCTTTGACCACGTACAAGAAGCATTAGACTACCAATGAAGCATTAGACTACCAATGAAGGGTTAGATCAAGTAGTAAACGGCTTGTTCCAACTTAAACAAGATCTCAAGTTCGAAACCTTGTGGACGTAGCAACTTTTGTTGGGAGACTCACCCATCATTTCCAGGTGTGCGACACAGATCAAGTTCGGATTAGTCGGGACGAAACCCCGGATACTGGGTGAGAAACCAAAAAAACAGAAAAGAAGCACTAGACCAGATGGCCGAAAACAAGCACTTTCTAGGAAAGTGCATAACTTTTCAGCAGTAACAGGAGGGAACTTCATAGCAACCAACAGGAGAATTGAAGTAAAATCGTTGGCCAAACTGAAAAAATGAAACTCCGCCCGAGCAGGTTAGAGGTTTCACACATGGCATGCACAGAAGACTTAAAAAAAAAAAAAAAAATTCCCAGCATCCACAAACCTGAGACTAAACTGGGTCTTTAAATAGCAGTAAAAAAAATACAAAATTATTCATCAGGTTAAACACAAACCACCGTGAATCCTCGGGTTGTATCACCAAAACCATATTCTCAGTTTCCAACAAAACCATCCCTCAAAATGTTTTAGCAGTTTGATCAACCACGTGGTGCGGCCTTGGCCCTTGAGGGCCGCCATGGTTCTGGCTTGCTGCCACCACTGCCCCATCGATCAGCTTCCTGAGATGGAACTCTGCTGCGATCTGAATCCTGAGGCAAAGCCCGGCTGCCACTGCCAAAGCGATCAGATTGTGGTGCAGGCCGAGCCCAGCGATCAGGTTCTGAGGATGGGGGCTTGTTGCTGGCTGCCCAGCGATCTGGTTCTGGAGGTGGGGCCGCACCTGAGCCTTCCCCACTCTGCCGTCGGAACCTAGGCACATATTTTTCAGTTTTGGATGCAGGAGCAGGTCCTTGATCTGAAGGACGGGATATTGCTGGAGATTCAGAAGGCCTGGACAA